TACATTGTATTAATTTATTTCGGTCCATATGGATAAATTCAATAGGAATATTAACATCGTCATGACATCTTACAAAGTATTGTTCTTATCATTCATCATGGTAAAAAACATATACTGTCTACTAAAGTTCGTGTTCCCCTATGTATAAAATATTTCAAAGTCATTTTTTTAATATAGGTAGCAAAAACAAACATTAATAATTATACGTTTAAGCTATAGGTACTATACATATGATAAATATTAATAATAAATATTATACATCATACACGTCATTTCCATGGCTACCAATACCGTTGTTGATTTAATATACAATTAATTTTTAGTTTATCCTCTATCTACGCCTATAGTCAGTGGTAATTATCGTTGTTCTGTGCAATTGTCTGCTGACATAAGTCAAATTTTATCATTTCATTTTTTTTTTTCATGTTCTATATGTGCGTCTTAATGTTTTTATTGGATAGAATTTACTGTGTGTCAATTTAAAGCAGTTTAAACTACCAGGAAGTTTGACATTAAAACGAAATAACAATAATATTATATAACTAATAAATTAGGTTCATATAGTAAGAGTCAACATGGTCGTATAGTTAAAACTTTTCCTCACTTGTATCTTTATGTATGTCTTATTTACAAAGATAGTTGTATAATATTAAAAAAAAAATAATAACACTACAATATATCATTTTATTTTTCAAGGAAAACGATTTGTAAACGTTGAGACGTTGAACTAATTTTATAAGACACAAATTATATATTTGATTAACATTTTTATCATGATTTTTTTATATTATATAGCAATTTGATAATATTAGTAAAGAATATTAACTAAATCGTTAATTACCACTTAGAATATTTCATTAACTTTGAGTAAAAATAAAATAAATGAGTCACAAAGATGTAAATATTTCACTCATCAATAAATTGTTTTCCGTACTTGTTTTGGTAATTAAATGTTTTAAATTATTATTAAAAATTAGATTATTTTCAAACTTGAAAAATAGAATTATAAAAAAATTGAAATCAAAAATAATAATATTACTTTGAATTCATAAATAAAAAAAATACTTAATATTGGATAAAATTAAATTATACTTCCAAACTGAATAATAATAATAATAAAATTACTGAAAAATCAATTTTTTTTTTTATATTCAGTAACACTTATTACCTATAGTACCGTCGTATTTCTGAATTTGAAACATAACTGCCGTGGATATCAATTTGTATAGGACGAGATTCAAACTTATTCTAAATAGTTGAATAAATTGGATTTTATTATATTTGTATACAATACAATTAAAAACAACCGTAAACAATTATATTGTACAAACGTACGTCGTACGTAACTTAAAAAAGTATTAGTGTTGAGCTGTTGAGTGTAATGATTTAAATTATCACAACAATAAATTTAGGAATTATAGTTATCTGAATTGTTGGTTTGGCGTTCTAATATTTTACCCAACTCACGAAAATCACTGTACATAATGCTTTAGGTATATTATATTATATACCTCGTTAGTCGTTATTACTATAACAACACCACAAAAAAAGTATTTAAAAATCTACTTAACAAAAAGTTATTAATGTATTCAAACATTTAGTTTGTACCTCTAATTACAAGTATGAGATATTATTGTTTATTACATAATTATATATTTTATAATATTAATCAAATAACATATTTTATTCAATTCAGATCGAAAATTTTAATGAAAGGTTTTAAAATTAGATACATGTTTATAATTTTTATGAATGTCATAGTTTTGTTGCATCGAAGTAGTACTCAAAATGTTTCATGTTTTTTATGTGTTTCACATTTTTAGGTGTTATCTTACTTAGAGTAGTCGTTTTCGTAAAATAGCAAAAGAAATCATTAAAGCAATAACTACCAGATGAATCAATCAAAAAATCAGAAAAAAAACAGTGAAATTTAAGGTGAATTTTTTCTTCATTGATATTCAAGCGGCCTAGAAAAAAAAACCATTCAAATAGTATTTGTATGTGAAAAATTCGTCGAAAAAGGATAAAATTACTTCTATATATATCTATATGCACCTATCCGAAAATCCACCTTTCTGTGTATCATGGTATTACTTAACTTAATATATGTTTCTACCCTATTTCATATATATGTAAAATAAAAGTAATATGTATAACAACATATATAATATAAAAACAGTATATATCCTATTGTCCAAGTCACGTTTCACGTGCTTTGGCAACTTTTAAATAGACGCTTTTGTGAGTTCTCCTCCATAAGGAGATTGTGAGGTGTATTTGTGAATCTCTTAGCGCAAACACACTTGTACCGTTTGTAACACGATACGCAACCACTTTAGAGCGTTACTACACAATACGTTTGACACGCAATCCTTTGCTGTATAATTTATAAGCTATTGGATAAATTATCATAATATATGTATATATATCTACTAAAACATCATGTGTAAATACATGCAAAATAAAATTCATTGTAGACAAAAGTGTACCTACAAATAATTAGTTGCCTATTGTGCGAAATTATGTGTTTAGTCGAATAATTTATTATTATTATTCATTTTTTTTTTTTTTGTAAAAATGTAATAAAACTGTGGTTGTTAAATGACTGGTATCATTTTATTTCTAATACCACACACATTATCCATACGCTACAAATATAGTTTATACGTAGTTAAGCTTGAAATTAAACAGTATATACTTATCTTAACGTTTTAGTTTAATTTAATTTATCAACTGATATCAAATAAGTTGTTATTACAACTCTTATTCGATAAATAATAATGATATTTTTTCTTTTTTGTTGAGTTGTGGAAATCTCAAAATTCCAAACTCTATAGTATATGTCGATGCTCGAGGGTACACAGTAGTATAATTTTAAGGATATACACCTAGGTACTCAAACAGCATGACGTGTATACAATGTCTTATAAATCATTGAATAGGAAAAATGATTCTGAGCGAAGACGGTGTGTTAATTTATACAGAGTGATTCACCAAGCATGGTCACTTCTTTATTTCTTCATTACTGCAGTTTGAAATTCTTGAGACTTTTTTACTGAGGAGTGTCCTGTGAAGGTACAAACTTCTGTTTTTCAAATTATAACTCTCCTAACCTAATCCCTATTCAACTATATATTATGTATGTATATACTATACAGAAGATCATTTTTTTTGAAATTGTTGAAGTATCAGAAATTCAGAATCAAAATTACTACGAGTCTATAGTTTTTGAGTTATTTAACTTTATGTTCTAAGGATAAAAGGTCCATACTAATGTGTTAATAAGATATAAGGCCTATAGTGGTTTGAAAATTGTAGTAATTTATATTAAAGTATCGATATTATATATTTTTTTTAAATGTTAGAGGTATAATAAATACTAGATACAACTTTATGTCTATTTTTAATTTATGTAAAACCAGTTTTAAGTAGTACAAAAAAATTCAAGTATTAAAAAATATGATCTTTGATAATATTTAAAAATTCCACAAAACAGAATTTGAATAAATTCATTATTAAAAGGAAAAATATTGGTAAGCATGCTTTGTGAATCACCCTGTATACTTCAAAAGATATTTTATTATATTTATATGTTATATAAAGCGCTTTTAGTAATTTTTTTTTACATTATGAATATCGTATGCCTGAATAGGTTCCTGGAATAAAATAGCTTAAAATGAATACAAATATTTTTTAAATTGCGTTGTGTTTGTTAAATAATAATAAAAGTTGTGGTGAAAAGTATTAATCTACCATGAACGTTTTTGATTTAAAAAATTCAACTAATTTTTGTTTAAATATTCAATTTTATCAATATTTGAACTTGACTTTTTAGCAAAGTATATTTTTATATCAATATCTATAAAATAAAATAAGTTAGAAAAGCTCACACTTCGAGAGCGTGCTAAATTCTCGGTTTCTAAATGTATTTTAATGCAACGCAATAAATTATAATTCCATATACAATTTATTTACAATAACTACTGAAAATAAATAAATACCATAATATCAACAATTTCAACTACATGTACTGGTAACTAATGGACAGAAACAACGAGGGTATAAGGTGTTTATTAAAATTTCAAAATTTTAATTGCCTGTAAATGATTTAAAACTATTCCAAATATTTTGAAAATGTTATAGTGTAAATCTGTTAATTTAATTAATAATGGAATGTTTTAAATTTTTACATAGAATATTTTTTGAATAGTAATCATCAACAATCGTTTGATTATAAATCATTATTTTTCGTCAAAGTTGAACTTCAACCAGTCATAAAATATGTATGTAGCTTTATTCTTAACTTGTTTTTTTAATTTTCAGAAAAAAAACCTTATGAAGTATCCTGTATTCAATGTTAAAGCCTTAATGGTTAAAATTAAAAATTTTATGAACTTTTAACTACAAAATAATTTGCATATTTTCGTGATCATCTTCTGTTCAGAATGTAAAACACCAATATTACCTATAATACATTGTACATTATGGTATATTTAAAAAAAAAATGTTATTTTAAGTGTTCCTTAAGGTAAATTGTTGCTTTTATAAATTAAAAGGGCACATTTGCCAAACCAACCTTGAAATAAAATATATATAGGGTGTATCAAAAAGTTCAACTTGAAGTGAATAAGTGAAATAACTTTAAGATTTGTGGACATATTATTTTTTTTCTTAAAAATGTATTTATACTTTATAGTATTAAAACTTAAGTAAACACATTCTATAAATAGGAATATTTGCATATAAATGCATTTTATCAATTAACCGAATAACGTTATTTTAACACTATGTTTAACATGTTCATCATTAAAACAAAAATTATTTTCAATCCAATGTATTGTATGTGAATGAAATATCTAATAATATTGTTCATATATTGAAAATATACAATCGTTCCCTTTGTATAACGTTGCCGTTATTAATTTATTATTAACTATTATTTTCAAACACGTCATGTGTGTATGAATATATTTTTTACATGTTTATTTTATTTTTTACAGTGCACCGGTACAAGATGTCGTCGTACGCTGAATAGAGACAAAAAGACAAAGGTTTGTCATTATTCAATTATTATCTTTTATTATAAAATTTTACTTTTCGGAGAACCTCACTTTATTTTAGTCATGATATATTTTGTTATAGTATTTACCAATACTGTTGATTATTTTATAAAATATATTAGTTGTGAATATTTTTACCTCAAACGCTTGGAGTTATTTGTAGCTCTTTATTTTTAATATAGATCTTATAATTTGATTACTGTATTATTGATAAGATAAATCAATTAAATCGTATTGCTCGTATAATTTATTAAATTCTCTTCAAAGATATAAAAGATATCTAATTTAATATTTATCACATATTGTTTAGATATTGAGTTAACCATTTTAATAAAGTAATTATTCAATTTCGATTTTATAAGGCACTTGGAATTTATTTTTGGTCATATTTTAATTCAAGCCCCATAAATGTATTATACGCATTCAGAAACCTCGTTAAGTGTATTTTACCCTTGTTTCCTATGCAGTACCTACGTATAATTATTTTTATCGTAATTGGTTAAAAATATAATTTATAGTTGTAATAATTACTTAGCTAAAATATATTTTATGAAGTTGTTTGCGATAAAATAATATTGTAAAATTAAAATCCACAATCATGCCAACTGATTTATTAAAACGTTGGGGGTGACGTGTTATTGTGTTACGTAATTGTTTTTAAATGTCTGTAATGTCATCAAGGTTTATTAAAAAAAAAAAAAAATACAGCCAGTATATTATTAATTCCGCGACTAACTGCATTTATCGCATTAACTATAAAACAGCTCATCTAAAATAATATTTTTATACTGTGTACGGTATACCAGTTTCATCAAATGTAATTTCTACTTTATTTCCATTCAAAATTGCAAACTGTTGGTATTATTATTGGTGATTTTACGATGAATTAATTTATTCTGTACATATAACATTGCGTTGTTAGTAAAATATAACTCTATAATACAATAATCTATGCAGTATATAATTTATGTATAATGCAATAATTAATCATTTATTGAATATTTCTAGCATACTATATTCAAATGAAATCGACAATAATTTGATTTACCTAAAGTCCTGAACCATTGGAAGTTCAATATTTTCGTATTGTACATAAAGTATTGACTTGGGTTTTGCGCAGTACTCTATCATATTCTCACATACCTGTAGTTAAACATAAACTAACTATTGTATTTTGCTGTCGAAACCTATGAAATAAATTTGCCCTAAACACTGTAGTAGAGTTTAAACGTGAACAATAAACTCGTTGTTGATATTACTTGTAAAAATATGCGTAAATATAAGTATAAAATATTTCATACACCTCAAAATAATATCGTATAACATATTTTTGAAGGTTAACAAAATCATATGCCAGTGGATTAATTTTTAATTTAAAATACTTATAAAATATTTTAGTAGAGCATATGACTTATACTAAAACTCCATTGAATTTATGACGTTCACATTGTTCACGATGAGGAAACAGTATTTTTAAGTTATTAATAAATGTAAGTGTCCATACCATACAAATGTATGTAGAATATATGTTTCTATACTTAATTTCTGTGTGATTTATTACTGTTTTTCTAGTTATCTATCTCAAAATACTACCAAGAACTCATAATATACCACATATAACCTAACTTAACATACATTGGCAATTTACATGTGTTCTACAACATGTGGTTATACAATAACATGTACATTTCAAAAATCTAATTTCAGTTGAATATAAATATTATAATATAGCTAAATGTTTATGTGTGGAATTTTATAGAACCAAAACTATGATGATTTGGGTTTTGAAAGAAATAATTAGTTGATATTATTTGTTATTAAAATTGTATTTACTAATTCAATTTTACTAATTTTCATTATCTAGAGTCTTTTATATTTTTCAAAGATTTAATTAAAATTATTGCACTTTTATTAATGAATTCACCTTCAAATGCCATATTAAGTTAACAGCGATGTTAATATATGTGACAGAGATGAAATAGCAATTTTCATAATGGAGGTATTTATTTAGAAAGACGAGTGATTAACCAATTTTGTTTCAATAATATTAAAAAGCAGGCCATTGTCTAATATTGATAGTGATTTAAGTGACTTAAGATATAATATATCATAATATATAACAAAAATATTATACAGTAACATTGTAATCTAGTGTGTCAGCTGATAACATAATTAAATTATACTTATGTAATAATTACAATATTAATTTGAATCGATAGGTAAAACATGTTTAAAATGTTTCTAATGTATTAGCTGTGTGAAGAAACCTCTAGTACCTATTTCGTATTTTTATAGTTTTGTAATAATTCAATATATCTGAAACTTTTAACTTATCTAATTTCATCAGCAAAATCGGACTATATCACTTCTGTTAAGTTTATAAAATACTAGAAATATCTTTATTTTGACCATAGAATATCATGTTGGAAAATAATTTATTATAATAACCATTTATCAAAATGTATCAATAGCGAAATTGAACAAAATGTTGTTGTTTATCTGATACGTTTGTACATACTTTTCACGTTCGTTGACGATAATTTAATTTTCATAACTATTTTTACAAATAATAAATATATTTCCTGATTTCATAAATAACGTGCACAACACTCAACAATTTATTGTGAATAATAAAGTTAAGATTACAATGATTTTCAAATAAAAAAAATATGTGTATGTAATTTTAATTTACTACTTAAAATATACAAACTGTTTAATTAATTTATCATTATACCTAAATATAGGTGTGTATAGGTACTGTTATTAGGCATATAGTTTTAAAAAACCCGTAAATATTATAAATGATTAACTCCAAACTTATTTTAGTTTTAAATTGGATTTTTTTTTTATTATCACACTGTTGAATATATTGTTGTGTAGTTTATCAAACAAAAATCTGCTATAACTATAGTACTATAATACCCAAACAAAAATGATCAATTATAGGTAATGTACGACACTCGTAGTTCGATGTATTTTGGTTTAAGTGTACCCAATAACTTTATAAGTAAATCGGTTCAGCCAGTTTAGGCATAACTTTACTCTACCCGCAATAATGAACAACAAAATATGTAAGAATCCTGATTTTTAGCATTGACCAATGAGTAGGCTCCATAGATTTTTAAATTTCGATGGAAAACTGTAATGAGGGTACCAAGGGTATATTCCTATTTGCTAGATGAATTATTCGGGGACAGTAGTTGGTGCTATACAACCAAAATCTGCTGATAGTGTTCTCTATTAATAAAAAAAAAATGTTTGCTGGTTGGATAAAAAGACCTAACCCATTGCAAAAATACATTTTTAAACTTAATGATAGCTGTGACAGTTAAAAAGTCGCCACTAATTTCAACACAGTTTTTACATTTTTATGCAGGAAACATAAATATTCCAAAGATAAAAACAGCCTAAATCACTCCTTGCTAAGTCCTCTTCCTGTCTGTAAAAATCCCTTCAAAATGGGTTCGATCGTTTCGGAGATTAGCCTGGAAAAATAAACAGACACTTCAATCCTATCAATTTATATTTTGAATAGGTAATTTAACAATGATGATTAAATAATTTAATAAAAATAGTCATTTATGAAGGGATTAAATTAAAAGTGTTCGCAATGCGATTACATCTAAAACATTTTTTTTTTTGCCTCAAGGCTCAAATGTGTGTCAGATTTACATAAAGTATATCATCATTGAGGTATAGTTAATACGTTAAAATAAACGTAATGGGGTAACATTTCAAGTCCCTACGATTTTTATTTTTCGAATAATCCGAGTTCAGTTTAACTTAAAGTGTCCATAATAAAAAATGTGCATATTTTATTTTATTTTTTATGAAATTAACGCCGTTTTGCTTTTTATAATGGTAAAAGCAAAGTATAAAGTTTAATAATAAGTAATAAAATATTGTGTGTTTATAAACATTTAGAGGAGAAATAATAATATTTAATACAAGAAGTGCAATAAATAATATAAAATATAATACAATGTGTGTCCTTGTAAAATTGAAGATATTATTTATATAATTGCATAATTTTTGACATAGTAACTCGACTAATTTTCCAAACTGAAGGGGAAGACTCTTTCATCAAATTACTTGTTGAAAATCAAATAGATTCGTAGACTAAGAGTGGTACGAAAACAGTATAGAATAATAGCAAAATTACCATCTGGGCCAGTTTCTCGTGTATTAGAAGCCGACTTTAAGCCTTTAAGGCGTCGTTGACCTCTTCGATGGTTACAAAAAATGTGGATGGACGAGATGAAAACTGTTTAATAATATAATAAAACATATAATTCACATGATCTACCATATATGCTGATCCAGCTGTCTCATTCATTTTTCGTATTTATTTACAATCATTTATCATTGAATCGAAAATAATATATCCATTCCATTACAGTAACTTATACAAATACCATGTATTCATGAAACCTATACGACGTAGCACAGCTTCATAGCTAGTTCCATGATTTTTGAAAAATCTAATAATTATTTAAAAATCGTACGTTTTCCTAAATAATAAAATAACATTATTTTTGTACTTCATGTGATATTTTGAGTACAAAAATCAAAATTAACCGACTGGCGATTCGAGGTATTAACTTGATCTAAATTTGTAAAACTCTAAGACATAACTCTTTTAATATAATATAGTTTACGTTTTAATACATTTCAAATTAAAAATTTTTGTTACAAAAATCATTTTTCAGATTATTTGATATACTTGTGTACTCTTAATAAATTTAATTAAACTGTGTTTTCGACTTTATTGCTTTCATAAAATATTGGGTCAGTAGGTTGAGTACTATTTAGCAGATATATACATGTATATATAAAAAAGTGCGAAACTTCTTATTTTGTTATACTTATCAAGTTAAAAACAGAATTAATGTAGTGAATTTTAAAGTGTTTTTTTTTTTTATAAACCTTATCAAAAACATTTATTTTAAACAGCTTTATTGGTACCGCACTGACGTGTATTGGTAAAAAAT